CCTAGCCCGGCTCAGGGCAGGCTCTCTCTGCGGGTGAATATAAATATATAAAACAAACAGCGAGCGTTTAGCTGCAAAACTAAAAATAGGAAGCCTGGAATCCGGCTCCCGGGCTCCTCTAGCCGCTGGACCACACAGTGTGGGTGCGAATGTTGGGGGGGATATGGCCCCTCACCCCCTTCCAGCTCCCCAGCCCTTGTGGGGGGGCTTGGGGAACTCTGGGTTTCCACAAGGAACAGTTCATTCTTTCTCTCTGGCTGCCCCCCACCCTTGTCCGTCTGACAGCTCATTTCATTAATGACCCCAAAATGAACCAACCCACTGAGGTGCGTTCCCTGCTCACACGGCCAAGCTGGGTGTCTGGTGGGGCAGAGAGCTGCCCCCTGCGCCGTGCTGGGGGGACCTGGGTGGCTGTGTTTATGGGGGGCAGTCTGGGGCAAGGGAGGAGTGAGGCAGGCCAGGGTCTGTGTCCAGCCCGGTCCTCCCCAGAACACCGGTGCTGGCCCTGAACTGCACAGCCCCTCACAGCCGTCTCCGGAGACCCTCACGATTTCCTCCTTGGACACACACCATCATCGAGGCCTGTAAAACCCAGCCGGGACCTCTGTTTCTCAGAGTACAAGCCAAAGCCATGCGACCAGTGATTCAGCTACACGCCTGGCACACAGTAGGTGCCCTTGTAAGATCTGAATAGAAAAGAGGCTCAGAGAGGGACAGGGCCCTCCCACAGCCACAGAGCTAACGGGAAAGAAAACCCTTCTGCCACATTCAGGCATTTGCCCGGCCCTTCCAGGGGTGAGCCTCCTGAGGTTGGGAAGTTCTTCCTAAAATCTAACCTGGGTTCTGGCTGCAGTTGAGGCGGCCCCTTCCTGCCCTTCTCGGGAGGGGAATGTCGGTCACGCTCCCCACCTGCTGCCACCTGCAGGCCGCTGTGGTTACTGCAGGGCTCGCCCCCACCAGCCCTCAAAGCTGTGTGACCCCCGGCAAGTCCCGCCTTCTCTGGGCCTCAGTTTTTCCGAGGAAGCTGGGTGCGCTGGTCTGTGCCTGGTGGGGTGAAGATGGAGCTTTGAGTCAGGGGCTCTGGAGAACCCAGCTCCTCTCTCAACAGCTGTGACACCCGTGCGGCTGGTGGGGAGGGGCTTGGACTGTGGTCACCTCCCAATCTCCATCATTCCTACAAAGTGACTCCAAATAAACACATAGATGGAAGCAGAGTGCTGGCCTGTCGGTGCTGCATAGGGACCAGCCCTGCGCACCCAGGCAGATGCTACTCCGCACATCCCAGAGAGAAATTCTGCAGCTACGGCTGGAGCCTGCTCAGGGGACCTGCTGTCTGCTCAGGCGTAAGGGATGCTGGGGGTGGGGTTAGGCTGGGGAAATGGAACTTCCAGTTGGGTGTTGGGTTTCAGGGAGACCAACCTAACTAAATGGGGCTAATTCTTAGGATAAGCTTTTGAAGTGGGTACTTTCACTTGAAAATAAGGTCTTATGAAAATTCCCCTCCACAAGGCCCGACTAGACAGGCGTGGTTGGCCAGGCCTCCTTGCTGGCAGGGTGGGGAGGGGGGTTGCCAAAATAGGCCCCCGAAACCATCACACCCACAGCCCCCACCAACAGGCTGCGGTCCTCGCTTAGCCACAAACAACTCCAGGGACATGTGAAGCCAGATGACACCCCTCTTGGCACCTGTCTTGTCATCTGCAAAATGGGGGAGCTGACACAGCTGCTTGCTTTGCAGCTGATTGCTGCTAACTTGCCACTGTCCCAGCAGCACAGGTCCCAGAGGTGGCTCTCACTGAGCTGCATTATGCTCCACCTGCCTCTGCCCTCTCCCCAGCGCTGAGCCTGGGAACGAGCCGGGAGAGATGCAGTTTCTTCTGTTTACTCATGAAAAATCACAGGCCACTTGTGAGGGGAGAAGGGGTGGTGGCACCTTGAAGACCTGACGTTCCTCTGGCATCCCAGCCACACCCGGAGGCCTCACCGGCTGCACTTGCCCAGGGTGGGTTCTGTGGCCATTCCTGATGGAGCTGATGCATCAGGCCAAGGCGTCAGGGTGTGTGTGTGTGTGCACACTTGTGCACGCACACGTCTCCACGGCAGTGGGTTTAGTCCTATTCCTGCTCAAGGCCCTGCCCCATTCCTCCAGGGCCACAGTGGGGGGAGGGGTCCCCATCCTCCCCACCCCACCCCCAGCCCTAGAAGCTTGGCATTGGAACCCTGCAACACATCTCAGAGTTATATAACAAATCAGTCAAAATTCCATTTTACAGTTAAATAGTACAGAAGACAGACAGTTTACTGTACAAGCAAGTTGTGCATTAAAAACAAACACACCAAGCAAATCATAGTGCAAAGCAGTTTCCACCCCTCCCCACCCTCTTCCTAGCTCTGGGGCCGTTGTATGGAAGATGTGAGTGTAGCAGGTATTAACACCTCAGCATGACAATATGTCACAACGGATCTGTACCCACCACCAACGGGCTCACAGTAAGATGGCATCCAATCCTCGCTTCCTTGTGCTAAGTCAGTGTGCTTGCCAGTACAACTTTAAAGTAGCCTTGTAAGGACGGACCCATTTCTACAAGCCCAGGCTGTTTGTACCCACTATGGGCCTTAAGACTCAGCATGGTGGCTGTCACTTTTAGTCAGGGGGTGGGCGGTAGGGCCCGTTTATTTCCTGTCCCTGCCCCTACCAGGGTTTGGATATCAGGAAGGGGTAGCAATCTGGGGTGGGGCTACAAAGTGCTGGGCACTGGGAACCCCGGGGTGGGGGGGCTCCCACACAGGCCTGGGCCAGGCTACAATCACAGAAGGGGAGTGACCATACAAAGACAATGGATTTGGAGCTGCTTCCTGAGAAGGGGTGGGGAGCGCCCCCAAGTGCAGGGAGTCAGCAGGACCCCCCCAGCAGCTATTTTGAGGAGATGGAGACTGCTTTTTCCAGGGAGGGCAGGGTAAGAGAAACCACAGCTGGAGGGGTCCGAATAGTATCACCAGGACTTCCGAACCTGCCAGTGTGTGTAACCGGTGTGTGATTCTGGCTTTTGTTACAGGTGGGGGTGGAACGGCAGGCCAAGTGCTATGACAGAGACAACCACTAAGGAGCATTTTGTAGGGGAAATTTCCACATCCACCGAGGGTGTGGCTGGAACAATTGCTGAAAACCACATGCTGTCTACTCCTCATGAGTTTTCTCGCCCTTTTCCACATAAGCCCAAGCCTTTCTACAACTAAAGAACTCAGACACAGGAATCCCTGCAGCCTGAACCCTTGCGCAAGGCTTGCTTTCCCATTTGCAAAGGGAAGGGGCGAGACCTCACCTCTGAGCACGGGGCGGGGGTGCTGAGCCGAGGCGGGTGAGCTCTTTGCCCTGCTGCTCCACCATCACTGGGCCACTGCTCTCCGCCCCTCATCCCACCCACCTGCTCTGAACACTCAGAACATCCTCTTGGGCAAACGTCTAAGATGTTTCCAGCATGTCACTGGCGTTTCCCTTGGTCCCCACCAGGGCTGGCCTTCGGGGGATGTTGGGGGATACTGCCAAAGGAAAGATACCTCTTGAGGAGGTATTGAGGTTCATTGTCGTGGGGCTTTACCTTTAAGAGATTGTGTGTATGAAAACGTTTGAAGCTTCTTTTTCTAAAATCAGCTTCAAAAACTAGCTTTATGTTCAAGATAGCTTTGGAACATAGGTTGGTTAAAGTGGAGAGTTGTGTGGCACGAGTTGGAAGGTGTGGCTGGGCCTTCCCACAAGGCGGGGGTGGGGGTGTGCACAGTTGGGCCGGACCTATGTGGGACAGGGATGCTGATATCTGACCTCATGACCCCTCACTCCAGTGCTTTCTGCTAGAACCTATCTGGCCCCTGTGCTCTCTCCAAAAACTGTAATTTTGAGACCAGCCTAGGGTGAAGGGAGGTCACTGGCCCCCACCAAGAGAACAGCGGGCGAGAATGCCTGGGGCTGGTAAAGTGCATGGAGGGGCCAACTGCAGGCGTCTTCCCTGGTTTTAGGAACCTGCTGCCATAGGCTAGTCTACTCTGGGGCCAGGGAGCCTCAGGCAGCTAGAAGGGGATGGGGGATCTGTACCTGTTAGAAATTGTGGGGGGGCTGGCTTAGGGGTGCCCCTCATCCCATCTGTGCCAGTGATTTTTCTGGAACTCTGGATGGGTCCCTTCCCCGTCTATACAATGAGGGAACCCCTCTTATGGTGGGGGGACCTTCCAGTTCTGCCTCAATTTGTGTAAATGTGGAGGAAGGGCTGGGCCCATGGGGTGCAGGATCTCTGAGGACTGTGGGGGTGGGTAGGTCTTTCTAGGGCCAAACGGTGTGGGCAAATGCTGCCTCTCTCCGGAGCAGAGATGGTCTCTGTCCCAGGAGACCTGGGCCCTGTGACAACTTGGAAATAGCTGGGGACAGCCAGGTCACCAGGGGAGGTGGCAGGAGGAGACTTTTCCCACAGGAAGGTGGGATGAGATGACTGGGATCTGGGTTGGGGGAGGTCCCTACCCCTCTGTACAAAGACACAGCTGGACTAGATGCTCTCGGAGCCACCACCAGCTCTGTGGACCCTGGGCCCATGATTGCCATGGGGCATAGGTCCTATTCCTGCCCTGAGCATCAGAGCTGGGCCAGCCACTTGTTGGGAAGGTTCTTGGGGTCCCTGACTCCACTGGGAGCAGTCCAGTTTGACCTGGGGGTCAGTAGGGCCGCCACACAGCCTCGTCCATGCGGCCTGGTGTGCTCAAGGCGGTGGGCGAATTGCTGTGGCTGCCATCAGCCTCCACGCCGTCACTCTGGCCGCCCAGGCTGGGGTTCATGAGGTTGCCCGCGGCCACGGAGGCGGCGCTGCTGGTGCAGGAGGCCAGCATGCGGGTGGGCGAGCGGTCGCCCCCGCCACTGCTGCCGGCCACCATGGAGAACTGGTAAGAGCCAGAGGACGCGCCGTAGTAGAGGTGGTAGGGGGACGGGTTGGCCTGGAAGGGCCCGCTCTGGTTCTGTGGGGCCCCGGGGTAGGGCGGCGGGAGGTAGGTGGGGTGGAAGCGGCTGGTGGCTGGCATGCTGGCCACGCTGAGGCTGCTGATGCTCGTGCCCGAGGGTGTGGCACTGTAGGGGAAGGCGGCTGACATGGTCCCCGGGTAATGCATCCTGGGGTCTGGGAAGCGGCTCTCCGTGAGGGTCTGCAGCCCTGGGAAGGAGCGGTCGAACTGGCGGGGGTCGGAGAAAGGGTTCAGGTCCGAGGTACCTGGGGGACAGCAAGGAGGACGGTCAGTCGCAGCCTGACACCACCCCAGCGGACTTATTTAAGAATGACCTTGGTAAAGGGATCAAATACATGGTCACGGAAGGAGACTGGGCTTCCGGTGGTGAGCATACACTAGAGTATACGGATGTATTATAAAGCTGTACACCGAAATTTACATATCTTATTAACCAATGTTACCCCAATAAATTTAATTTTAAAAAAGAACCACCTCAGGGCTCTGGCTCACATACCTGTGGCAGGCTGCCTGTTTCTACACCCGGCTCTGCTCTTACTGCCTCGGCTGCCTGGGGACGGGGGCCCTCCTGACCCTGAGCATGGCCCTGCCTGGGAAGCAGGTGGGAACAGGTACCTGGGCCGAAGGTGGCCATGGGGCCTCCCTGGCCAGATGGAGAAGGGGGGCTCTTCTTTACCTCATGGAATCCTCTTCACAGCCTAGCAGTGCAGAGGCCTGTGGAGGGGGTGAAGGTGGCCCCCCCAGGGCTGTTGGGGGTGTGTGGGGCCGACAGGGACAGTACAGGCCTGGCCTGGCAGCTTCTGCCTCCCTCTCTCCCTGCCTCCCACTTAAGAGCTGGCAAGACCGTGGGTGTGGAGAGGGTCTGCAGTGGTCCTGTGAAATGGAGATCTGGAGCCTGCTTTTGCAGATAAGGAAACTGAGGCAGAGAGGAAGATTAATTTTCCGGATGTTACAGAAAGGACTCAAATTCCTCACGAGGCCTCTCTTCTGCTCATCCCTGGGCTGCTGTGCATGCCCACACCTCTCCTGCCTGGGTGGGGCTCAGTTAGGGTATGTGAGCTTATGCCTGTGTGGTGGGGGCTGGGTCCAGAGCAGCACTGTGTGCCCCTCACCCCCCGCACACCTCACCCTGGGCCTGTGTCTCCAGAGCTGCCTTCATTTGCCTTGGCAGCAAAGTGAGATGGCCTGGACCCTGCCCTTGTCAAAGAGAAACCAGTGTCCAGCCCAGGTCCTGCCCCAGCTCCTCCAGTTTCGTACCTTACTGGACTCTAAGACAATGGCTTCTGAGCCTCTGCCCCCTATTTTTGTATTCACATTTTGGGATCGAGTCTTACTCCCTTGGTAGGAAAACTGACGCCCAGAGAGGGTAGATCACATAGCACACTGGACCTGGCACAATATTCTAGGGTTCCAGTCCTGAGCCCCAATATGGGCCCGATAGGTAGCTGGCCCATCTCTGAGGCAGCACAGAACAAAGGTTCACTGTGAGGTCTTACCCTGCTTCTGACACTAGCTGTGTGTCCTTGGGCAAGTCACTTAACCTCTCTTTGCATCAGTCTTCCCACATGAAAAATGGGAACAGTAACAGATCCTAGGAATTAAATTAGTTAATGCATGTAAAGTGCTTAGACTGGGCACCAGGTAGAGGCCTGATGAGGGTCTGTGCTGCTGTGGTGGCTGTGACACCTCTTGCTCTGTGCACCCAGGAGAAGTGGCCCATTCAGGGCCCTGGAAAGATGATCCCCCGACCCTGAGCCTTCCTTGTATCCTGGCCAAGGGGGTGACTCTGGCAGCAATGGCGAGGTGGATGAGCCCCCAGCAGTGGTCCTGAGGGAAAGTCTGTCTGGCCCTAAGCCCTCTATGGCACCCCACCAAAGAGGATGCAGGGAAACCATCCTCTGACCCTGTGCGGCTCCAGGTTGGCACTGCCTTCTGTGACCGAGGCTTGGCTGAGGACAGACAGCTGCAGGTGCCCTCAGGTCTCTTGCTTCCCTAGATCTGCCTGAGGTGCTGTGTGACCTCAGGTGAGACTTGTACGTTCTCTGGGCTTTGGGGTCTTCCCGACTCAGCTGGGGAGTGTTTCCTCAGCAGTGGGCCGTGGTTGTGGATCAGAATGGAATGATGCTCCCTGACTCAAGGTGAGGGGACATGGGGGGAAAGGGTCCTCTGGAATGTCTGGTACCCTCCCTGATAGGTTCCTTGGCTGGCCAGTGCTGCCTTGAGACCTAGAGGGCCAGGGGTGCCTGGCTCCCCACCCTCAGAACCCGGTACCCAAACATAGCCAAGCATGAGGCTGACTCCTCTGCTCTGAGCCCAGGTAGTGCATGCTGTCCACCTGACAGNAGATCACATAGCACACTGGACCTGGCACAATATTCTAGGGTTCCAGTCCTGAGCCCCAATATGGGCCCGATAGGTAGCTGGCCCATCTCTGAGGCAGCACAGAACAAAGGTTCACTGTGAGGTCTTACCCTGCTTCTGACACTAGCTGTGTGTCCTTGGGCAAGTCACTTAACCTCTCTTTGCATCAGTCTTCCCACATGAAAAATGGGAACAGTAACAGATCCTAGGAATTAAATTAGTTAATGCATGTAAAGTGCTTAGACTGGGCACCAGGTAGAGGCCTGATGAGGGTCTGTGCTGCTGTGGTGGCTGTGACACCTCTTGCTCTGTGCACCCAGGAGAAGTGGCCCATTCAGGGCCCTGGAAAGATGATCCCCCGACCCTGAGCCTTCCTTGTATCCTGGCCAAGGGGGTGACTCTGGCAGCAATGGCGAGGTGGATGAGCCCCCAGCAGTGGTCCTGAGGGAAAGTCTGTCTGGCCCTAAGCCCTCTATGGCACCCCACCAAAGAGGATGCAGGGAAACCATCCTCTGACCCTGTGCGGCTCCAGGTTGGCACTGCCTTCTGTGACCGAGGCTTGGCTGAGGACAGACAGCTGCAGGTGCCCTCAGGTCTCTTGCTTCCCTAGATCTGCCTGAGGTGCTGTGTGACCTCAGGTGAGACTTGTACGTTCTCTGGGCTTTGGGGTCTTCCCGACTCAGCTGGGGAGTGTTTCCTCAGCAGTGGGCCGTGGTTGTGGATCAGAATGGAATGATGCTCCCTGACTCAAGGTGAGGGGACATGGGGGGAAAGGGTCCTCTGGAATGTCTGGTACCCTCCCTGATAGGTTCCTTGGCTGGCCAGTGCTGCCTTGAGACCTAGAGGGCCAGGGGTGCCTGGCTCCCCACCCTCAGAACCCGGTACCCAAACATAGCCAAGCATGAGGCTGACTCCTCTGCTCTGAGCCCAGGTAGTGCATGCTGTCCACCTGACAGGAACCCCATTCTCAAAGCGAAGGAAATCCCAACAGGGACCCCAGGATAAGACAGCAGGGCTGCAGCCCGGGAAACAGGCTGGGGAAGGTGGGCCTGGGTCTGTTGTGTGTAGCCCTTGGAGTTCACATGGGTTCCAGGCTCTGAGCTGGGCCTGCCCCCACTGCCACTGTCCCCTCCTGCCTCCCTCCCTCCCAGGGTGGTGGGGAAGTGTCTGCCCTCAGCACCCCTGAGGCTCCCAGCCCCTCCCAGCCCAGTAGCCCCAGGAAACCGGAGCTGGTCGGCTGTCGAGCAGCCAATCCCAACACTGGAAGGAAATGTTTATTTTCTTCTCCAAATTGCCCCAGCTGCTTCATGGTGGCTGAATGAGCCCTTTGAGCTGTTAGAAGCCCCCATTGTGGGCGGCTGCAGCTGGGGGGGCCTGGGGCTGGGGTATGGAGGGGATGGGGCCTCGGCACTGCTTGCCAGTGACCAAAGTCGGGGGTCAAAGCTATTAACAGGCACCAAGAGAAGTGGTGGTGGAGTGTCCTGAGGGGATCCCCAGGATAGAGTCTAAAGGCAGAGGCTGGTCCCACCAGAAGGGGAGGGTCAGTGAGAAGAGCCCAAACCCAGCCCTGCCAACATCCCTCTGTGGCAAGTACCTCCTTCCCACTTTACAGATGTGAAAACTGAGGCTCAGAGAGGTGAAGTGACTAGCCTAGGAACACACAGCCAGTGCCTGGCAGATGCAGAATTCCAAGCCCAGTCTATCTGACTGCAAAGTTCATACTCCTTTCCTGGTCCTGGTTGTCAAGAGCCCTTCCTCTCACTCCGAAGGGGACAGGCCTGGGGAGGGGGAAGCCTGGCAGTGTTGAAAGGCCACATAGGTAGCCTGAGGCCCAGTGCTGTGAGTGGTCAGGGAGGGGCTGGGGAGCCCTACCTAGAATGCAGAAGGGGAAAGACTGGGTCAGCCACGCCCCACACAGGCCCTACCTTTCCTCCCAGCCCCAAAGTGGAGGCAGGGACTCTACCTGCTGCCTGGCTAGACCTGGCCCTCTGGGCCTGGACAGAAGGTGGATAGCCTGTCTCAGGCTCCCTAAGGCATAGACTCCCCAGCCATGTCCACACAACTGAGGGCAGGCAGAGGTGGGCTCTCTGCCTGTGGCAGGGTAAGGCCTGCTGTGTTAGGCTACTGCACCTTGACAAACGCTGGCCTGTGGGAAACAGGAGCACAGTTCCTAGGCAGAGGTGGGCATGAGCCCAGGGTGCAGAGAACCTCCCGCTGCCTCCTGAGGTCAGAGCCCCACCCTGAAGGCCCCCACCCCCAGGGCCCTTCCCTGGCTCCAGAGCTGCCAAGCATCTCAAGCTTGCTAGCACACAGGCTTGGAGCAGCTGGACCTGGGGCCCCTCCCACCTCACCAAGGCCCAGCTTCTCAGGCCAGACAAGATGGGTCCTTCTCTTTACACTACAGGGCTACATCAAGTCTGCCACCATCACCGATCTGCCCTGGAGCACCGAGAAAGAACGACACCCACAGTGCCTGACAGCAGCCAGCCTCCAGCCTCTGTTCAGTGCTGCTGCTGAGTACACTCCGCCCGGCCTGGCCCAAGGGCCAGCTGTGCACACGGCCTCCTGCGCCCAACCCACGGGCTGACAGAGCCTGGAGGAGAGTCAATATTCCTCATCCAGCCATTCACTGAGCACTTGCTGTGTGCCAAGCACCTGTCTCCTCTGGAAGGCCTGCCTGAGATCTAGCTTTGATTGTGCCTGCTGTATCCATCAGGCAGTGGGGACAGAGACCTCTGTTTGGGCCTCAGCCCAGACAGAGGCCTTTCTCCTCCCTTCTGTTTGGGAGGAGTCTCTGGGCCCTTGGGGCCTTTCCCAGGCGATGCTCGTTCTCTCTCCAGGGCTGTACCACTTTACAGTTTACAAAGTTTGTTGAGTGCAGTAACAGCATCTGAACGTCACCCCAGCCCTGGGCAGAGGCATCCACCACCACCCACTTTAAGATGAGAAGCTGAGGCTTGGGGGTAGGTGTCTCAGCAGGAACAAGACTGCCACAGGTTCCTTGGACAAATCATGCCCCAATTTTAATGGGTGCACTATGAGATTTCCCCAGGGGATAGTGGGCTCCTGGAGGGCAGGACTGTGTCTGTTCATGCTGATCTCTGGGGCCAGGCACCGGCGCGGCACGTGGTGGTTGTCAATAAGTGTTTGTTGTGTGAATGAATGAAGGACCTGGTCCAGGGCTAGGCCCAGAGCATCACAAGGGTGGCGCAGCGAATGACCTCTGGATAAGCTCTTGATCTGGAGCAGGAGGACCACGCCCGGGTCCTTGTCCACCTCCCCCCACCGCAGCCCCCGCTGTGCCGTACCTTGGATGGGGGTCTGGGCCTGGCTGTTGAAATGGCTCGTGGTGCTGAGCGAGCCGCGGGGGCTGGGCATGGTCGGTGTTACCCGCATGCGCACCCGATCCAGTTCTCCAAAGCGGTCAGGGAACGCCTTGGTCTGGTCTTCCAGCTTCTGCCGGTGCCCTGCAGAACATGGAGAGCCCATTATCAGCTGGTTCCCAAGTGTCAGGGAGACAGAAATGCCTCGCTCTGCTGGGAAGTTCTCCCTGAGGTCTAACCTTAGGCCTCTGCAGGGAGAACCCTTAGATCACTACCAACCTCTTTTCTCAGGTTCTTCAAAGACTTTCTGAACAGAGAATGGTCATAGGTACTGCCCCGGGGCTGCCATAATGATCTCACCCCTGCCTCCTTGAGCAGGAATATTCATTCTCATACCTGAACCTCTACAACACACTGTTTGGCAGAAGGGGAAACTGAGGCAGCAGGCATGGGCAAGTGACTCAAGCACGCTCCCTTGGAGGATCAGGGAGAGAGCCCAGGAGTGCTGCCATCCTCTGCCTTCCAGCATCCCAGAACCCACCCCCCACACCTGGAAGGCGGCCGTGGAATGGGACTGTGGCCCCATCCAGCCCTGAGTCACACTGGGACCAACATGCCTTCTCTCTGGGCCTCAGAGAGAAGGGAAAATTCACCAGGATGTTGAGAACAGGCATGGGCCACTTCACCGAGGGGCTGGACTCCCATCTCTGGGAGCTGGGGACAGGGACCAGTGCACCTGGCTTGGGGCACCACCCCTAGAGAAACTGCCAACATCTCTCATTACCCCTCTGCCATGGCGCATATAGGAAGGAACCCCGCCTCTTCTCCAGGCCCTAGAGGTGCTGGCAGGGTCAAGATGGCCATGCCCCTGCTTCATGTGGCCAGCCAAGGCCACCCTCAGGCTTCCTGAAAGACATGGAGCTTAGGGGGGGGGGTCACAGGACCCCCCCCCATTTTTCAATTACTCACTTTACGTTTCACAAGCAACACATGAACATCTACAAAAATAAAAGCGTTTCAGACAAAGCTATCGCTCCTTAAAGCCACCCTAAGCCCCTCCCCAGAAGTCCCCGTGTGAGGTCTTTCCTTCCAGCCTTTCTTTGGTTTCACATGCATGGAAAACACAGAGCAGGTTTCTCATGGAACTTTCTTGAATGGTCTAAGCCTGGCTGTATTATTCTGTAACTTGCTTTTCCAGTAGCACACTTTGGAGTGCCGCCTCAGTTTTCTTATCTGTAAAATGGGGAGGGAAGCCAGCCCCATGAAAACAACAGAGTCCCTGCAAGAGAACTGCAGGAGGACTGCACCGCTAGGCCAGTGGGCATCCCTTGCTTCCGCTGGACACATCTACTGGACACTGAGTTTACTCAGCTGATCTCGAATGGATGCGTAGGTTGTTTCCAGATTTCCTGCATTATTCCCTCATGTGCCGTACTCCCAGGCATGTCCCTGTTCACACCTCAATGTTTCTGGGGATTTCTCCAGGGCAGATACTAGAATGCACTGCTCTGGCAGAGGGCTGGCATTCCTGGGTTCTACTGCTCAGCCCAGCACAGGCTGGCCCATTCTGCTCCACCCGACCTGGAGAGAGGAGGTCAGGCAGGCTTGGTGCCCTTTCTTCTTTTTACAGCAAGAGAAATGGCAGCTCAGAGTGGTGGAAACATTTGCCTGGGGTCACAGAGCAAGGAAGGGGGAAGGATTTCCTGGACCTGAGATCTCTTGGAAAAAACAAGGGGCGGAGCCAAGGGAGAGGGCAAGGCTTGCCTGAGTCCTTAGGTCTAGACTGACAGGGAGAGAAGTAGGTGGGAGATAAAACAGAACACCTCACGGTCCTTTCTGAGGCCTGGAAAATCACATCCTTGGGGCCTGGAAAAGTGTTGACCACCACTGGGAATGAGGGGACAGGGTCAGAGGCCTAGTCATGCGCCTCACTTCTGGTTTTCAACATGGGATTGCAATGGATCCTGGGGCTCCAAACCCTGTGCTCTCTATACACCCTGCTGCAAACTCAAAGGGAATCTGAGAGCACTTAGAAACGTACAGGCAGTCCTGGGAGCCACAGTGGGCTCAGCAAGTCACCAAGAACCAGAGAACCCACTTCCTCCTCCAAAGAGGCCCCAGGCTTGGAGCCCAGGGGACACTTGGCAGCTGGAATAAGACCACTGGGCCTCCAGACAGGCCCCCCGCTGCTGCCTCCCAGCAACAAAGGGGAAAATGTGGGTTGGGGCTAGAGCCAGGGCCCAAAATTCAGATGCCTATGTGGGCAAGTCAAGTAAATGAGGCACACAGGATGGGCGGAGACTGGGGCAGACTATATAGGATGTGTGCTGTGTAAGAGGGGTAGCTACCATCTAGTCCAGCTGAGTGTTGCCAGAGCTTCCAACTCACCAGGAGAAGCCATAAACCTGCTTTGATATGAAATCTCCCATAGTTTACATGTTGGCAATGAATTCAATCCCTGAACAACAAAAAAAGCCAAACTGACCACTTTGTAGGATGTGTCCTGCCCTGGGGCTGCCAGTTTGTAACCTCCAGGTTTGAAACTTCATTATCTGGTTAATTGTGTAACCTCAGCCACCAAGAACTGGTTAATGGATACCCCTCAGGAGTGGTTTCCGGGGGTGGGGTGGGGTGCCGAAAGGCTCAGCCTCAGCCCTGGAGGAAATACGGCCCCTGCTGCTGAGGCAACCGAAAGTGGCAGGGCGAAGTGGACAAACAGGGGGACAAACAAATTCAGAACAATCTCAACAGGCAGGAAGCTGGCCAGATGGACCTGGGGACTGCAGACTGACCTGACAGCAGCTTGGGTGCAAAGGATCTGGGTGTCTTAGTCAACCGCAAGCTTGAAGTGAGCCAATGGGGCTATACAAAAGCTGGTGCAAAACCTCAGGCCTTGTTATTGTTGTCACTGGCGAATAAAGTCCCGTTTCTGAGTCACACTGTGTACAAAGTGTTCACAGTTACTCTTGTGGCCCAGCGGCAGGAAGGCAGGGTTCACAGCTAGCCAGGGTTCGAGGATGGGCCCTGCTGCTTGCAGCTTGGTGGCCTCACTAAAGTCACACTCCCTTTCCCCCACCCCAAGCCACAGTGTCCCCATCACGGTGCCCTCACAGGCTATGGTGCTGGCCAAACAAGTTATGTGAATGCTCTCCACCCACATGGGTCCCTGCTGGAACTACTACCCCAGCTCGTTCCAGGGGAGGAAGGATGATCGTGCTCACATTGGAGACCAGGACACAGACCAGATGGTAAGATGTATCTGGGACACAAAGCCAGGACAGCAGAGCCAGCACTGTCATCCAGAACCCAAGAACTCCAAGTCCAAAGTTCTTTCTCTTGACACCTTCCTGTTTACTCCCATTGTACAGATGGGGCCACTGAGACTTCAAGATGAGATCTACGCTAAGGGCTTAGTCTGGGGTACAAATCAGGTCATCTGGCCCCAGAGCACATGCTCTCACCACGTGTTGCTCTGCCTTCACACGGGGTAACTTCCTGGAGGAGGGGAGTTTAACAGCACTTTGGGAATTGCTTCCTTGTTGCTGTGAAGGCTGGAGCCACTGCAGGGAGGGGCGAAGGGAAGCTGAGGCGGCTCCACATGGCCAGGGTGCCAGAGAGTCTCAGTGCCACGGGGCCCGGGCCTTCACGTTGGGAGCATAATGGAACTTTCTGTGCCTGAGGAAGACGATGGGCCTGCAGAATAGACTTCTTTCACTTGGCTACCCACAGTGGGAGCGGATGGGCTCTCTCACTGTGCCTCCGTTTCCCCACCGCACAGGCTGCTCACGCAGGCCCCTCTGGCTCTGTAGGTCCCTGACTTAAGATTGCAAGAATCAGCCACTGGCCAGACTGGGGCCCCAGAATGAAGAAGGGAGGGTTGCTTGCTCCAGTGCCCACCTCCTGCTGCTGCCCTGCCCAGGGTTTCTCTGCCTCCACACTTCAGAGCCACAGCTCAGGCACAGCCCCGGACAGGAATGCTTTCCTGTCCTTTGGGGCTCAGCCCAGGGGCCTCTCCCCCAGGAAGTCCCCTTCTCCTAACACTGAGCCCCACAGCAGCTCTGCAGGCCTTGAGCAGTAACCAGCAGCAGTGGAATGAAAGAGCAGCCACTCTCACTGGGTACTTCCTCCACTCCAGTGTCCGAGAAGGTGGCACTACATCATCCCACCTGGGAGGTCCACCACTGTCCCTATTTACAGGTGAGAAAACTGAGGCTTGGAAAGTGGTTGATGACATGCTTGAGGTCACACAGAACGCACCTGGCTACTTTCTCTTCCTGGAGTCTACCCTGCAGGAAAGGAGCCTGGGCTTTGAAAATCAGGGGCTCTAGACAATGGGTATTAGGGTCTGGCCCAGGCTCAGGGCCCAGAGTGACTCTCTGCAGGTCTAGGAGGACGGGCTTGGGGAGATGACAGGGTCTCAGTGGACTTTACCAGGAGCCCTGCCCTGCTCTGAAGCTCAGCGTTGACAGGCCAACTTGAATCACGCCCTGCTCAACCCACAGAGTCCCTTTTCTCTGGCACTCAGTTTCCACACCTATAAACTGGTTATCACACGTCAACTCCCCAAGAGTGAAGAGGAGCTGGGGACAGAGCCCAGTGTTTAAATGCCGAGCACTTTGAGGGAAGGATGGGGAACACATTGGCCCCTAGGACCCTGCTTAGGTTGCCTGTCAGCCTCCAGGAGCTGGGCTCAAATCACTGATAGCCCCTCCAGGGCCACCAAGCACTGTGCCAAGTGGGCCATGCATACTGTCTCCAAGGGCCACAACCCTCGGAGAGGCTGATATGGTCACCCCATTTTACAGGTGGGAAAGGGGAGGCACGTGGTCAAGGTCAAACCTAGAACGGCCAGCACATTGCATGGAGCTTGGCTGCCAAGGTCTTGGCTTCCCAAGACCTCCAAGAGAGGAGAGCTGGGCTGCCTGGCAATGAGGCCTGACTGGCAGGAGGCCAGCTCAGTGTCTTGTCTCAGCTGGGTGGAGGGGAACGGGAGGCCAACAAGGGCAGGGAGAAGGGAGCAGAGGAGCTGGGCAGGGCCAAAGGACAGGATCATCTTTGGGGACAATGCGGACACCCATATGAAGCCACTCGGCTGCCTCCTCGGCTGCCTGGCCCAGCTCTGGTGTGGCCACAACCCAGACACAGCAGCCACTGTCTGGCCAGCCGAGGGGTGGGGCACCCGGGCCTTAGGCCCGCTCTGCGGCCTGTCAGGAGATTTACACCCGACTCTTAACAACCGCGTGGAATCGCGGGCGGGTGCTGGGCCCCGGGTGGTCTGCCGTGAATCGGCCCCCTGTGAGCAGATGAAAGGCGGTCGGGGGCTGGCGGGGGGCCAGCGGGCAGGGAGGCAAGCTTCTCCTTCCCAGCGCTGCAACTGGGGCTTCCAGCGGCCTGGGGTTGATTAGGGGAACCAGGGAGGTCTGAGGTTAACCCCTTCCCTCCTGCTGGGCACGCTCCCCTAGGGACCATGGGGGTCCTGGGGGCTGGGGCCAGGAGCAGTTGGCTCTTCTTAACTGGGGCATCCTTCCACCCCCCCACACCTGGAGCTGAGGACAAAACTGTGGCAACTTTGGAGCCCTCAAAGGCCCAGCTGCCGGCTTCGGGTGGCTTTTCCTGTCCAAGTGGCCCAGAGTCTCCAGCAGCCACAATGACTGTTTGCTCACTTCCTTTGGGCCCCTGCTCCAATGTCCCTCTTCAGGAGGTCTCCCCTGTCTCCCACCCCTGCCATGTCCCATCCCCTACACTCTGCGCCCTTATTCCAGCTTTGCTTTTCTTCATAGGACTTCATACAACCTGAAGTTAAATTAGCTAATCATCTGTTTACTTTACAAGTATTTCCTGAGCATCTACTAAGTGCTCACGTCAGTATTCCCAGGTCTATACCAGTGCCTGGCAAGGCAGAGGAAACACCCTGTGGACCATATACACTAGTGGGAGAGATGGGGAAGAAAAGAGTGAATTATACAGCATCTTAGACGGTGGTTAAGTGCTCGAGGTAACATGAAAGCAGGGAAGTATAAGGGGAAGTGGGGGGACGGCTGTGTCTGTGATTTGAAACAGGGTGATCAGGAAAGAACTCACTGCAAAGTCTGAGGCAAGACTTCAGGGTGGGAAGGAGCCATGAATCTGGGGGTGCTCGGGGGTAGTGTTCCAGAGCAGTGCAAAGGCTCTGGCTCAGGAGTGCGGCTACCCACCCTGAAGACCAGCCAGGAGCCCAGGGGGGTGAGTGAGGAGGAAGGTATCTGAGAGGAAGACAGAGGAGTAGCGGGCATGGACCTGGTGGGGCCCTGTTGCCATGGTGCTAACAGAACTGTTTACCATCTCTTTCCACCCATGTGTGAGACCCAAGAGAGTAAAGCCTGTCTGTTGGGTTTACTGTGGTGTCCTCAGCTTCTAGAACAGTGCCTGACTCGTGGTAAGTGCCTAGGAAAATATTTGTTGAAATCACTCCATGTACATTTTTGGGAAGGGCCCATAGGCAAGATGCCAGGGTTGCCCTCTCTCAACCTGAGGCAGGATTAAGAAGCTGGATCCCACCCTTTCAGGTACCAGCACCTGCTAAGCCTGGAGACATGGAGTACACAATTCCCAAACCATGGTCCACGACAGAACTGCTGGGCACTGTCCTGCCTCCTGCCCAGATCCTGGATCCTGCTCAGCCACCTGCTTCTTAACTCGCCCCCAGTGACTGTGAGGGACACCAACATTGAGAACCTCAGAAACCAAGGCCACACAAGCAGGAAGCCACCAAGCCAGCCTTCAAACCCAGCTGGCCACCTGGCTGCAGATCGGGCATGCTCTGCAGGGCACTGGAGGGTAACGACCTGGCCACAGAACCCACAGTGGCCTCAGGGATCTGCAGGCTCCACTCCCTGGCTCCCTGGACCAGCCCCTACTCCCACCCCACCCCATAAAAGGCTCAGCCCTCACACTGGGCTGGGAGTCACAAAGCAGGAAAAAGGCCCAGGAAGAAACTCCTACAATAATTCATGAGGGTTCTTGGGCACTTCCTGTAGTCTGAGCAGTTATAAGTTGGTTTAATGCTCACAAGAACTCCCCAGAGAAGATGCTAATATCACCCCCATTTTACAGATGAGCATGTGAAGGTGGGAAGGCCCTTACAAGTGGTTCACTTTCCTGAGCCCCAGGCCGGAGCCCTGGGTTCACTGAAGCTCACCCTTGAGCAAGTGGCTTTGCCTCTTGGCCTGCCTCTTCTTGGGGCTATTAAAGATCAGTTAACAGAGACTTTACACTGGCCTGGCACTCGGGGAGGGTTTGATGACCAGCAGCAGTTCAGGTGGGGAAACTGAGGCCCGGAAAGGGGGAGGATTTGTCCAGGGTCACAGGCTGAAGGCCAGGCTAAGATTGGAACCCAGGATGCTGGTGAGACCTGACCTGAGGGCTGGAGCTGGGGCAGGAGCAAGAGGGTCCCCAGGATGGAAGACCTGGAGTGCCTTTCCCCCACCATGGCTGCTCTTTTTCTATAAATGAGCTTTTGCCAAGATTCTGTTTGAACATGTCACTTTCAAACCACTGATATGGCCTGTGCCAAGGCCCAGAGAGGGACGCCATCTGCCTCAGGTCAGCAGCAAGCCTGGCCTCTGACTCAGGCTTAGCTCCAGGCCAGGCCTTCCCTTCTTGCTCCCTCTTCCTGTGCCATCCCCTCCCCCACAGCTCACTCCAGAAAGGGGCTGTGTCAGGTCTGGAGGACCTCAGGAGAGAAGAGCAGGCAGGGAGGTTGAGTGGGGACCAAGTCTCCACCCTCATCCAGGGGCCTCAGTGGGGGCCGGTGGGCGGCTCTGGGCTGGGCGGGCTGAACATGGAGGGCTCTGAGGGATTCCGGGTGCTGCCCAGCTGCTGGGAGCCTTCCCACCAGGCTCCAAGCCCCTGCTCACATGCCTCTTTGCACTGGGTGCTCACTGCGTTGCGGAGTGGCTCCTATGTGCTGCATCAGTCATGTTGAGCCCACTTGTGGCTCCCATCCATCCTGATTCTGCCCCTCGAGACTCAGTAGAACATCACCTGCTTCAATAAAAACTTATACTTCTATTGCCATGCCCTGGGGTTCTCAACAGCTACCCTAATGGTGGTGGTGGTGGGAGCCCAGGGGGGTGGCCAAGTACCAGAGATAACAGAACACCATAATCCAGTGACTCACAGGGAGCCTCCCTCTGCCACAGCCAGAGACCATCCACCTGTAGGCACTGATCTTCAGGCCTGTGGGGTGGGTGGTATTATCCTACTCCCTGGAGGAGGCAGCCAAGGCCCAGAGAGGTCAGCAACTTGCCTGAGGTGCCCCAGCCAGACCAGCTGGCATAGAATCTGCTCTCTGCACAATGGCCTGCGGCTCACAAGGGCTTCCCAGCCATCATCACCTGGGGTCTCTGGGGATCACTGACCCCATTCACCGATGACAAAACTGAGGCCAAAAAGGAGACATGACTTGTCTGGGGCTATAAAACCCAAGGCCGGGGCATGGACACATCCATGTCCAATCCTAGCAAGATGCTGGAAGCTGCCTGCCTTTGGGCCTGATTACCATGTGCAAGAGCTCAGGGGAGGCAGCAGGAGGTAGCCCTGAGAGGCCTGGAGAGTACTCTTCCAGGGCCACTGCGCCCAGCTCTGAGCCTTTCTGGAGTAGCCAGACGCTGGCGTGGGACCAGGGATTGGACAAATGGGCAGCCAGGCCTGCCTGATTCCCAAAAATGGAGGGGCCAGTCCAGGGCAGGCCTGGGTGGCTCTCACTGACCATGCCCTGACATGGTCACACTCCTGTTGTGAGCCTCCTAGGCACTGAGAGACCAGGAGCTTGTCCTTCCGCCCCAGGCCCACTCCATCCAGAATTGGATAAAAGGCTGTCTCGGGGGCACTGGCTGCCTCTCCAAAGCTAAGACAGTGAGGCCCTGGCCAGGATCTCAATATTCCCAGGCCTGGATTCTCTACTCACTAGAACTGGGTGACCCTTTGGCTCTGCTGTCCCTAGGGTCCCACATGAGACAACAAATGTGAGAGGTTGTCTAAACTGAAAGGGACCACAATTACAAAGAAAGAGAAGGACATGGCAGCTCTTAGTACCCCAGGTGAGTGTGAGCTAGTGAGGGACAGTCCAGACAAGAGCTCTGCTCAGAGATCAGAGGTGGCTGGCTGGTTCTTTGTTTCATTCACTCACTCACTCACTCACTCACTCACTCACTCACTCATTCATCCAGTGAACACAGGCCTCTGGCCCATTCTGTGGCAGCTGTCCCTCCAGGTTCTCCAATCTGAATCTAACAACGCCAGGCCCTTCAGCAGGCAGAAGTGATTAAACACAAACTCTCTTTGATGCTAGAGTGCATGTACCAGGGCTCTCTACACATAGCAGGTGCTCAATATGTATCTGCAGAATCAATGTGCATTCCTGATCTCAAGATCGTGGGTCCTGGGTGGGTCAGAGTGCCTGGGCCCTGTGCAACTTGAGTAAGTCATATACTAAGATTCAAAGAAAAAGTTTCCAAGGAGGGGACCTGGCCTCCTTCAGCCACTGGCAGAGGAAACGGGTGGAGCAGAGCACACCTGGCCCAACCTCCATCCCCGAACACACACACAGTCTCCCTCTCTCTCTCAAGCCTTTTCCAGCCTCTTCCTTTCCCTAATGATGCAAGTCCATACTCCCCAGCAGGCCCCCAATGGCAGTCATCCTATGGGAGAGGGGGTCACTCGATCCTGTTATCTCCCTGTCCCAGCCTCCTCACTGGCCTCCCAAAGTCCAGGCCAAGCAGAGGGTTTGGGGCTCTGCTGGCAGGCACACAGTGTGTGGTAGAGGGTGTGCATGCAGAGGGTACAGAGGACCACAACCCCCCACAGGAGTGCTCCCAGGACCCAGTGCCATCTGTTTGACCTCGGCTGCTGCCCTCCCCGCTCTAAAGCCCCACTCAGTGGATCTGGAACTTACGTCTAGGCTCCCGGGGTCCATCCACAGTCACCTTGATGGCTCGGTGGTAGGTGGCCACTTGGGTGGGGTTGGTGAACACGGTGATGGTCAGTGTGAAACTCTTCCCTGGGGGGAATGAGGAAAAGGCAGGAGGTTGGTACCTGAATCCATTCACAACATGCTGGTCTCCCGCCTCCTTTGCCTCCCCAAGAAGCCCCTAACCTTCCATAGGGGCAGGTTTCTCTCCTTTGAGCCTGGGCAGAAGATGGGGCTCTGGGTGAAGTTCAAGCTGCTGGGGTTGGCATTCAAGGCTCCCAGAGGCCTGGCATCAACTTTATTGCCTCTACCTGCTCCCCTGCTCTGGCTGCCCTGGCCCATCTCCTTTCTGCTGCTTGTCCTATTTGTGCCGTTCCTTCTATCCAGAGACTCTTGTGATTTTGGGGTGGGGAGCAAGGATGGAGATACATATTTTTTTCCTGAAAGTAATTAGTGATCTTTATAGAAAACTTTGAGAACATTAAATATATGAAACATAAAAAAGAAAATGCCCATCATCTCACTAGCCAGAGATAAACATTGTCACTACTTGGGTGTTTTCTCCTCTGATCCTTTTGTGTGGGTACGTATATTTAAACAGTGATTCTAATACATGTATTTTCTTACTTTGCTTGTTTTTTCACTTAACATCACATCATAAGCACTTTCCCATGTCATTAAAAATTCTTCATAAACTGCATTTTTAATGGCTGCAAAATATTTCAACTCAGGAGCCTCATCTTTTATTTACCCATCTCCTTACTCTCGGGTAGTTAGGCTGCTGCTAATTTCTTACTGGTGTGTGCGGCTGGGGCTGGAAAAGGGCTGATTTGGGAGCTGCAGACATTTCATTTGCAGACACAACTGTTATTTCCAGAACTCTGTTCTATTTTTAAATAGACATTTGGCTCCAAAGTCTCCATTCAAAATTCCTGAGAGGGGGAAAAAAACCTTTTAAAATAATTTATTTTTTTACCATTTGAAATAAAACGAAAATGACCTGTTTATAAAAATCTTTGTCTACATCTCTGCTTACTTCCTTAGGGTAGATTCCAAGAAGTGGTGAGTGAGTTCATCGCAGCAGAGGGCTGGGACACACTTAGGGGCACCGATCTCTCTAGTGAAATGGCTCTCCAGAGAGAGTCACCATGATTGGCGTGAGGTGGCATTGTCACCCTGGCGCCATCAGCATTGTGACCACGTCTATCGAGGTGGAAGATCTTTTAAATGCTCCCGACTGAACTTGACTTTCTTCTATTACTAGTGAGAATGAAACTTTTTATATGTATTATCAGTCCTAACTCAACAAAAATTATGGCTTCACGTTCTTTTATGCTTTCCTACTATGGTTTTAGCGCCTGTAAAACATCACCCTGCAAGAAGCCTGTTCACACTTTCCGTGTCCTATTTGTGGCCATCCGCTTCCCAGTTCGCTGCTTTCCATTTCGTTTTCTGACTCCAAGCTGTTTTGCATTTTCATTTCTATCTCTGGTTCGTGATTTCTCCTACCGTTTTTACGATTAGGCAGGTTTTCCCAAGTAACAAGGCAGATAAAGGTTTGGCTCTGATAAACAGCGTTCTCTTTACTTTCTACATCTAATTCTTTGATTCTTCTGGGGGATTACGTGGCCTGTGTGGTATAAGGTGAGGATTTTTCCCCAGCGCCTTTCCCTGGAATGAGAGCCCCCCACCCCCGTTCTCTGTTATCATCAAAGCCTCCACACAAGTGAGACTGGGAGGGTGTGGGGGAGCTTCCCTGATCCCCCAGGTGAAACTTTGACCCTGTCTGAGCACCCCTATCTCTGGATCCCAGTTTTAGGCTTGGGGACTCCCTGAGGGCAAGGGCCACTGGCCCAGGGCACCTGTGTCCCCCAGAACTGGCTCAGGGTGGGCACCGACGGAGGCTGCCCGAGTGGACCCTTCTGCTGTCCCCATGCTCCCCACAACTCTCCAAGGCAGGCAGGTGGGTTCTGATATCCCCACTGCACAGCTGGGAGATTAAACTCAGGGCGGGACCGACAGCTTCCAGTCCTCTTAGGTTCCTTCTGGGTATCTGTCGGTCCAGTGATCAAGTGAAAACTCTAGCCCCGGAAACAGGAGACTCCAGAACCAAAGTGAAGCAGCCAGGCTGCTGGGGCCGCACCGAGGGACCGCAGGGCTCTGAGACAACAGGGCTGGGGGCGGACAGGGCTCAAATCGAAGTGACTGGAACTGGAAAGAGTGGGGCCTCTCTGGAAAAATTTCCCTGAGCCGGCTGGAGGCAGGGATGCAAATGCCCAAAATCGTACCTGCCACCTGCTGCTGGAAACCAGGGTCAGAGGGACAATCATGGCCCCTCGCTCCCAGACCACAGGGGCATTTCCCATGGTTTCTGGAAACAGGACGTGCAGACAGTCTAGGGAAATGCCAGGCAGGCGTGCTCAGGCTCCCTACCCTCTGCTTCCAGGGCACCTCCTACTGCTTTCCCTCTCTCTGAGGTTATTTCCCTTCTGGATACCCTTGTCCCCAACCAGTCAGGCACTGTGTGGGGATCCCTGGGTGCCTCTATCCAGCACTTCCGTGGTGCTGCAGGGCGCCAAGAGATGGGGAGTTTAGTGGACAGCAGCCCAGAGCTGGAGGGCTGCCAGGCCGGGTGTGCCCCAATGCCCCCGAGTGCTCCTGTTTCTCACCTCACCTCCCTCAGGTCACCACTGAAAAGTCACCTTCTCAGTGAGGCCCTCCCTGGTTACTTTCTCTAAAGTAGGAGTTTTTAACATGACATCTCTGGCCTCCACTAAGAATTGAGTGTGCCCATGAACTGGAATAGAAAAAAAAAGGTAACTGTTCTGCCCCTAACCTCTAAATGAAATTTAGCATTTCTCTGGAGTCTGAACATAGGCAACAAGCCACAAAGCATTACAGAAGTCCCTGTGACCTTGTCACAAAAGACGTCACAGATATTTACATATCACATTACAGACAGTGCAGAGTCCTCTAAACATCTTTAAGCTCCTCACAACTTCAAAATCATGGTCGTCACTGCACCCGCTGCTAGATCTTATTATTTAATATGCTAACAAAGCGGTTACATTCATCACAATTTTAAAAGACATCTTGCTAACTATATTTTAATATAACTGGTTTCCACTGCAATCCTTTGTACTTCATTTTGTTCCTTAAAAAACATTATTCTGAGACTCCAAAGGAGTCCGTGGGGTGAAAAAAGATGAAGAAGCTCAATCAGAAGCATCACAGACCCTCCCACTCCCCACTTCCCCACTTGAATTTCCCCCAAATGCTTATTTCTAATAATTCATCTGCTTATTTATGTTGTTTCCCATTATTAAACTGTAAGCTCCCTGGGGGCCAGCATTTTTGTTGTTCATTGCTGTTTCCCCAGCCCTAGAACAGCATCTGGTGCATAGTAAGTTTGTTAAATGAATTAAGGACAGAGATTACTGATCCCATTTTATGGATGAGAAAACTGGGACAGAGGGGCAATGAGTAGACCATGTCGCACAAGATCAGGCAGGGCCCAGAAAGGTTAGAATGGGATGGAGCCAGCCCCTCTACATACACACTCAGGACCTGCTAATGAGAAGCCCCCATCCCCACCAGGCAGCAAACCACAGGCTACCCATGAGTCACCAGCCCTCCTCTATAGCTTCGTCTCAGTTTCCAGTCCTGGCACTACCCCTCCCAGGTACTCCCAGGGAGGAGGGACAGGGGGAGGAAGGAAGGGAGAGGCTGGGACCTGGGAGCAGGAGTGGGAGGGGGGAGCAGGTGGCAGGTAACACAAGAGGCAGGGACCCCTTGAAGCAGAGGTGAGGGAAAGTTGTCTCCTTGAGTGCCCCTTGCCTCTCTCTCTGCCCAGCAGCAAATCCACTCATCATCTCTCTCCCCCTATTAGAGGAAAGACCTGAGAAAACAAAGAAGGTGGACTTAACTTTGTGCCGGAACCCTGGCAAACTTTCCGTCAGCCAGGAGTCTAGGAATTGAAAATCAAGGCACTCCAAGGGCTGGCCCTGATTGGTGGGGGAGAGAAGTCCTAGTCTGGAAATAGCTGCCCCTTGGGTGGCCCCAGACATTCCTGCAGGTCCTGGGGCCCTGGATCAATCAGCGTGTACAACTGGGTCTGGCAGTGTGACCTTGGGCAAGTCCCTGTCCCTCTCAGCCAGGGTTCCCGTGTGAGATGCCCCAACCACAGGGGACGTGTCTCAGGGAACCTCTGGGTTTTCTCAACAGTGACCAAGAGGCCATCTATCTCCTATTAGTGTCTCCCTAAGCCTGCAACCCACACATCTCATCCCAAATTTCTCTCCTCATGCTACGGTTTCTTTTTAACCAGTTAACTACAGTTTGGAACTCAAGCTCTTTTTACTTTCACCTAGGCCCGTGGCCGCCTCCTAGAGGGCGTTTTGGGGATTGTGGTGTGTGGTTCTCAAGAGGTGGGACAGGAGAGGAGGGTGCCAATGTCCAGCACTGCACAGGGCAGTGAAGTACTCATGCTTCCTGTTTGTGAGAAACTTGCTGATAAAGATGATCTGAGCCATGAACCCAACTAAATTTTGCATAAAACAAGGCAAACATTTTTTTTGCACACTTTTATGGTCTATTGAATTTTCCAGGAGGAAGGGTAGTTTTTAAAATAATTTTGTTCAGAACTTTGCCACAAACTGTCCACAACTTCAGAAAATCCTGTCATTGACGGCAATGCGGTGTTCAGACTTTGAGTCATGTACCCCTCTCCCGCCCAGCCTGCCGTGGCTGCCACGGGCCTGCTACCAGAGGTGTAAGCATCCATCCAACAGACAGTGTGGTCCTGCCCAATATTTACCTATTCAAATAGGTATTTTATTACAAATCACTTTCCCCATTTTTAAAATTAGGGCTATGGAATTATATAGATTTTGAAACTGTGCATAAGTAGGTGGGCTACATTATCTACACATTTCATTGTGAGATGGTGGTAAAGGGCGCTACAAATTATTGAAGGGGCCGCTGTGACTGGCAGGCGGGGACCTCGCCCTTAATCACAGCAGGAGACACCAATGACTTGGTTTCCTTCCCGTTTCCCACCTCCAGGCTAATCGTGAGAGCTCTGTGGTGGTGGTGCGTGAATGTCTTTCATGGGAAGGTATCTTCCAGGAACGATGACAGAATTGAGGAATGGAAAGCAAGAAAGCAAGCAGACCATCTGGCTTCTTAGTCCTGGCAGAAGTCAGAGAGCCAGGGAAAGGCCCTGCATCCCAAATCCCAACCTGTTCCCACTCCTGAAGTAGCCCAAACTGTCTGTGTCAATCACTGACTTCTCTCCGAGGGAATTTCCCAATGGGCAGGATGGGCACAGCAGATGCGTCGCTGCTGCCACAGGACCCCTTTGCCCTCCTCCCTCGCTGCCACCCGCCTCCACTTCTCCCACTCAACAATTCACGCCTTCTGGGTTTCCCCCACCCCCGCCCAAACCACACCAGAATCAGAGAATCAGTGACTGTCACCACTCAAAGGGACTTCAAAGATCTCCTCTAGGCCCAGGCATTTGAAACAGCAAAATCTCTAATGTGTATCCAGCTCTCGATAACATGTAGCCAACTGACATACTCCTACCAAGTTCCTTAACCCTCAGGAAATCCCATGAGGTAGGTACCACTGTGATCCCCATTTTACAGATGAGGAAACTGAGGCACAGAGAGATTAAGCCATTTGCCCAATGTCCTCCAGAAAGTCACTGGTGGAGCTGGGACTGAAATCCAGGTCAGCTGGTTTTATAGCCCAGGCTGTTTAAATACCAAAAGCTTCCGAGGTCTGAAAGCCTTGTTGAGTTCCACAGGCATCAGAACCCCCACTTAGGCCTCTTGCTATCTCCCGGGACCACTGAGACTGGTGAGAGAAACTCAGCCTTACGCATCTATCTTCCAGAGCCACAATCCAGCCTCAGCTGTGCCTGCTCCAAGAGCGGGCTGCCCAACAGTGCTTTGGAAACCCAGTTCCCTCCCGGCAGGCCCTGCGGGTGGGCACAGGTCTGTGGGCATAAATGCCACAAGGAAATCATTTTCAGGAGCAGAATGGCCAGGCAAGGTCTCAGGTAGCTCAGAATTGTCATCTCTTCTCTTTCTATATTGTTTGTACAATATAGAAAGAGGGGGTTTGATGACAAGTTTCTGATGTGCTAGGCTCCAGAGACTGACCTTCCCTTCTGCCTGCCTCCTAGGGGCTGCAGCTA